TCATTTTTGCCATGAAAAAAATATTGCGATACTGGTATCGTCATGGCTACTGGTATCGTCATGGCCCTACCAGTAATACAGAAATGCCAACTGTGTCACGCTGAGTCACAGAGAAAATAACTTAGTAAGATCTGGTATCCAAGTTATTGGAGGGAGAGTCCAGAGAGAGGAGTTCATAAGATGGGTTGAGGGGTTGGAGGTGGCGTGGATGAAATATAAGAATGCTGCTCATCCGTCTTCATCACCTGCTGTCACCATGGGGCCGAGACATGCTCTCTCACTCCTTACAGGCTGGCTGACAGTTCGATTTGTTCCCTCTCTCTCCCAATGCCACAAACCATTGCGGAGCTTGCCTCAAGGTGTTCTCGGCTCAAGAGGCCCCAGACTGGATCAATAACCGTCATCACTTTATTGAGGCAGGGGACTGAAAAGAGGAACCAAGGGGGAGATGACTCCTGATCACATTACTACACCCCCCTCCCCCCCTTCCTCCTTCCCTGCGAGGGTAAGGTATTGTTACTGTGATTTAGTGTCAGCAAAAATACTGATTTCGCCTCTGACTCAACTAGCCAACTCCTCAGGGGAATATATGGTGTGAAAGCATTCACGACAGTTGAACAAAAGGGCAGCATTTATCCTGTAAAGGCTGGGAAGAGATGGAGGAAATCAAATCTACTCCCACTATCTTGGATAAGCTATATTGTTGGATTAGAGCATATTACAGAGGTGCTCACATGTCACCGACTGATAGTCCATCAAATGCTTAGCACCATTCCTTTCTTGGTGTTAGCTTTGTTGCCAATATACTGAACAAATGATACAGTGCATTCGGAAAGTATTCAGACCCCTTGACTTTTTCCACATTTTGTTACGTTACAGCCTTATTCTAAAATTGATGAAAAAAATGTTTTTCCTCAATCTACACACAATACCCCATAATGACAAAGCGAAAACAGGTTTTTAGACATTTTTTCTCAAATAAAAAATAAAAAATTGAAATACCTTATTTACATAAGTATTCAGACCCTTTGCTATGAGACTCGAAATTGAGCTCAGGTGCATCCTGTTTCCATTGATCATCCTTGAGATGTTTTTACAACTTGATTGGAGTCCACCTGTGATAAATTCCATTGATTGGACATGATTTCGAAAGGCACACACCTGTCTATATAAGGTACCACAGTTGACAGTGCATGTCAGAGCAAAAACCAAGCCATGAGGTCGAAGAAATAGTCCGTAGAGCTCCAAGACAGGATTGTGTTGAGGCACAGATCTGGGGAAGGGTACCCAAAGATGTCTGCAGCATTGAAGGTCCCCAAGAACACAGTGGCCTCCATCATTCTTAAACGGAATAAGTTTGGAACCACCAAGGATCTTCCTAGAGCTGGCCGCCCAGCCAAACTGAGCAATCGGGGGAGAAGGGCCTTAGTCAGGGAGGTGACCAAAAACCCAATGGTCACTCTGACAGAGCTTCCAGAAGGACAACCATCTCTGCAGCACTCCACCAATCAGGCCTTTATGGTAGAGTGGCCAGACGGAAGCCACTCCTCAGTAAAAGGCACATGACAGCCCGCTTGGAGTTTGCCAAAAGGCACCTAAAGGACTCTCAAACCATGAGAAACAAGATTCTCTGGTCTGATGAAACCAAGATTGAACTCTTTGGCCTGAATGCCAAGCGTCACGTCTGGAGGAAACCTGGCACCATCCCTACGGCATCATGCAGGCTGTAGTCCATGATCTCAAAGCTCTGCAGCAGCTACAGGAGGAGCAGAGGGACAAAATGCAGGGGTCAGAGACAGTGAAGTGGGGATGGAGGAGTACACCATGGAAAATGTGTGAAATACAGTAGGCTTGGGGTAGCATTTACAGGCTGTAGTCCATGATCTTAAAGCTCTGCAGCAGCTACAGGGAACGAAGGGATAAAGGAGTCAGGACTCAAGAGACAAACAGTGAGCACCAATTTAGGATCAGTTTAGTCTTTTAGATTACTGCCCCCTCTCATTTGAGCCAAGAAGTTTAAAGCTGACCGCGGTACTGCAGGCATTTTTTTTCACAAAGCAGGATCCTCCATTATAGTGAATGGGAAAATGTAAATCTTCGGGTAAATAAAAATGAAAATCGAAGACAATCGTGGTACCAATAATTGCTTCTATTACACCACCTGTATGTCCTTGAACTGATTATTTAAAAAATTGCACAAAGAAGAAGTTATAAGGATAATTTAGTTGCTAATGGCAGTACCCCGGTCGGCCTTCAACTTGAGATACTCAATGAAAGCTAGTACTGAGCTAGCCTGCAATGTCACTTCCTGGACTAGCTCAAACTGCGCATGTTATGTCTCCATGAGGCGCCATCTTAACCTACTTCCTTGGCTTCAAATGTGCTATTGAGTCTTCACATAGGAATAAATGGTGTCACGTGATCGATGGCTTTGTCCATTCATATGCAGTCATTGGAATAAGATTATATGGACAGCGGGATCTGATTCTAGATCTGCACTCTTTCTCTGAGACACTTGATACATACGGCCCCTGGACAAACAGACAAGTGGGGATGGAGTATCTCAGGGAAGATGAGAGAAATGCAGTAGGGTTAGTGTATAGCATGTACCAACAGTAGGTGACCAAGTTCAAGTCAACTCCACTACAATTTTGACATACAAAATGATACGTGATGAAAATATGTTAGCACAATCATTAAAGTAACTGTCCAGTGAAAATCTCAATTTTAAAAGTGCACATTCTGTAAACTAATACCCAAATAATGTTGTTGACTAATCCTATACTCATATTTGTGGAGAAAAAACTTTAAAAAAGCCCACCTTTAACTTGTATCTCAAACAGACCATTTAAAAAATGCTTGCTATTTCCTCATAGAACATCACATCATGTTGGCTCATTGGCTGAGCTGGCAAATCAGCGGTCTACTTGCATTAATATTTTTAATGACCGGTATATACCCACACCCTTCTGCTGTTGGGGTACGCCCACACCATTCCAAAACTGAAAAGCTGCTTTTTAACATACAGTGAGGGAAAAAAGTATTTGATCCCCTGCTGATTTTGTAAGTTTGCCCACTGACAAAGACATGATCAGTCTATAATTTTAATGGTAGGTTTATTTGAACAGTGAGAGACAGAATAACAACAAAAAAATCCAGAAAAACGCATGTCAAAAATGTTATAAATTGATTTGCATTTTAATGAGGGAAATAAGTATTTGACCCCTCTGCAAAACATGACTTAGTACTTGGTGGCAAAACCCTTGTTGGCAAACACAGAGGTCAGACGTTTCTTGTAGTTGGTCACCAGGTTTGCACACAACTCAGGAGGGATTTTGTTCCACTCCTCTTTGCAGATCTTCTCCAAGTCATTAAGGTTTCGAGGCTGACGTTTGGCAACTCGAACCTTCAGCTCCCTCCACAGATTTTCAATGGGATTAAGGTCTGGAGACTGGCTAGGCCACTCCAGGACCTTAATGTGCTTCTTCTTGAGCCACTCCTTTGTTGCCTTGGCCGTGTGTTTTGCGTCATTGTCATTCTGGAATACCCATCCACGACCCATTTTCAATGCCCTGGCGCGAGGAAGGTGGTTCTCACCCAAGATTTGACGATACATGGCCCCATCCATCGTCCCTTTGATGCGGTGAAGTTGTCCTGTCCCCTTAGCAGAAAAACACCCCCAAAGCATAATGTTTCCACCTCCATGTTTGACGGTGGGGATGGTGTTCTTGGGGTCATAGGCAGCATTCCTCCTCCTCCAAACACGGCGAGTTGAGTTGATACCAAAGAGCTCCATTTTGGTCTCATCTGACCACAACACTTTCACCCAGTTCTCCTCTGAATCATTCAGATGTTCATTGGCAAACTTCAGACGGCCCTGTATATGTGCTTTCTTGAGCAGGTGGACCTTGCGGGCGCTGCAGGATTTCAGTCCTTCACGGCGTAGTGTGTTACCAATTGTTTTCTTGGTGACTATGGTCCCAGCTGCCTTGAGATCATTGACAAGATCCTCCCTTGTAATTCTGGGCTGATTCCTCACCGTTCTCATGATCATTGCAACTCCACGAGGTGAGATCTTGCATGGAGCCCCAGGCCGAGGGAGATTGACAGTTCTTTTGTGTTTCTTCCATTTGCGAATAATCACACCAACTGTTGTCACCGTCTCACCAAGCTGCTTGGTGATAGTCTTGTAGCCCATTCCAGCCATGTTTAGGTCTACAATCTTGGCCCTGACATCCTTGGAGAGCTCTTTGGTCTTGGCCATGGTGGAGAGTTTGGAATCTGATTGATTGATTGCTTCTGTGGACAGGTGTCTTTTATACAGGTAACAAACTGAGATTAGGAGCACTCCCTTTAAGAGTGTGCTCCTAATCTCAGCTCGTTACCTGTATAAAAGACACCTGGGAGCCAGAAGTCTTTCTGATTGAGAGGTGGTCAAATACTTATTTGCCTCATTAAAATGCAAATCAATTTATAACATTTTTGACATGCGTTTTTCTGGATTTTGTTGTTGTTATTCTGTCTCTCACTGTTCAAATAAACCTACCATTAAAATTATTGACTGATAATTTCTTTGTCAGTGGGCAAACGTACAAAATCAGCAGGGGATCAAATACTTTTTTCCCTCACTGTAATTACAATTTTTTGGAAACTATTTCACTTATATTGTAATTTATAGGTCATTTTTCATAGAAATCTGGAAACACTGGACCGTTAGTTTAAATGTATGGTACTTCTCAGCGACATTTCCATCCCACAACAAATAACCAATATGCCCTGGTCAAAAGTAGTGCACTCTATAGGGAATAGGTGCCATTTGGGACGCAAGCCACTCTCCCTCACCAGGCAGTCTCTCTTGATGGTCTTGCTCAGGGCGTTGTAGTTGTCTGGTTACAGCAGCAGTCCATCAGGCAGGTCCTGGATAAAGTCCAGGTCTTTGAAGGTGGGCACGGCTTTTTCCCTCTCCTTAGCTGAGGCCCGTTTCTTATAGGTGGAGCCCTTCAGGTTGTACTTGAGGTGCATGCGAGCGGAAGCAGGTTGTTCATGACAGTGATGCGGATGTTCTTGCCCCCCGCCTGGACGCAGCACAGACCACAGAACTTAGGCAAGGATCTCATGTTCTGGTGTAGGTTCTAGAGAGGAGGAGAGGGGAAAGGAGAGAGGGTGTAAGTATATCAATCAAATCCACTTTAGTACTGGTCTATTAGTGTAGAACAAAACATAGAGAATAAACCAGGAAGACATTGAGGCCAATGCTTGAATTGAGTAACGAGATTAACTTGGTAACTCAAAACACAAAACATAAGGTACACATTGGATCAAAAACGTGCACACACCAGCCCACAAACTCTCTCTCTTACCATGAAGTAGCCCGGCAGTAGTTGTTGTAAGAACTCAGCTTCATTGTGCTGCACAGTGTTAATCAGGAACTGATCATCGCTGGAGCCATAGAACTGAGATCCACTTGATCCAGAGTTGGACAGCTCAATCAGTTCCTCATTACACAGAGTGTCCTGCAACCAAAACAGTGATTAATTAAACGTTAGTTAAATAGACCATTCCACCTCCTGCATTCACATTCCCATCAATGATTTCCATTTATACTCCACTGTTGTTTTACTCTCCTACTTTTGGGGGGTACGTTCCAAATGGTACCTGAAAGTCTATGGGTATCTACTAGAATACGTGCAGATACCAATAGACTTCCAGTCATTGCGCTGACGTTAGTTAGCATTGGCTCGTGAAATTAAATCTAACTTCTTTCATACTGGACACAGAGACATAAAAATGGTATCCACTAATTAATCTGGCTCTTGGGAAGTAGATAAGGGGCCTCATTGCCAGAATCCCGAAGTATCCCTTTAAACCCAGAGGAGGAGTGCTCTTTGAGTATGAAGCGCATGCCTGGAGTACACACCATATCAAACCGTAGCGAAATGCAACAGAAAACTTTTTAAAAAAGAAAACAAATGTTTTTATTCAACAAATGTAGGTCCCTCCCCGTTCCGTCCCACTTGGTTCCTAGTGAACCAAGATCAGATCACATAAACATTCCTGACAAAATGCTCTTGTTTGTACAACAAGTCTCTCTTAAGTTTCAATTAGGGCCACACATACTAAGGAAAACCCAAAGACACTTGGGAGTTGAAATGCAACACATTTTTGATTCGCAGGAGGGGGAATTGCATTGAATGAAATGATTATTTCGAATGATTTGCCGCCCGTAATGGCAGGGTACCGTTAGTTACATATAATCTATGACCCTCTAATAATGTGATTGGCTACCTGTGAATAGCTATCTGAAGGTGCTGATAGTTTGTCAAGCACTAGTTTCCCTGCTTCAGTGAGGTGAAGTGTAGGCTCCTCAATCACCAATTTGGAAGTCTGTGAAAAAAGAGGGAACAGGGTAAAGTAAATTATCCCTATAAGATCAGATGAGCATTGGTTAATAATGTGATTGGTTACCTGCGTGTTTAACACTGCCAGCTCTCTCACCAGAATCCTCCCAGTACGGGCGAGGTAGTTGACTGGTTTGGGCTTGGAGATGACAGGCTATGAAGAAGACGGAATATGTTTACAGACATTTTCATTATGTTGTTTTATAGAAAACTAGTGACTTGATGTTAAGCTTTAATATCCTCTAAAGACTAGAGAGTATCAGAATGGATAGACTCAGAGATAGGAACACACAAGGGTCCAGACCAAGGGATTAAAGCCAGACAGGACCGGTGCACTACCTCTTCATTCACATACTAAGGAACAAGACAGGATCAATTTAAGTCAGTTTGAATGATAGACTGGTACTGTATAGGAGTAAAATATTGGCATAGGGAAGATTGCAAGAGGAGGCCACTGCAGTGATAGGTTCTAAGACAATTGGCAGTTGAAATACAGAGGTCAGTTTGAATGTCAGATTGTTATTGAACCAATCCTGCTAATTTTTATTTTATTTTATTTATTTAACCTTTATTTAACCAGGTAAGCCAGTTGAGAACAAGTTCTCATTTACAACTGCGACCTGGCCAAGATAAAGCAAAGCAGTGCGGAAAAAACAACAACAACACAGAGTTACATATGGAATAAACAAAAACAAAACGTACAGTCAATAACACAATAGAAAATCTATATACAGTGTGTGCAAATGTAGTAAGTTATGGAGGTAAGGCAATAAATAGGCCATAGTGGAAAATAATTACAATTTAGTATTAACACTGGAGTGATAGATGTCCTTCTGGAAGGTTCTCCCATCTCCACAGAGGAACTCTGGCGCTCTGTCTCTCCCTGACCAAGGCCCTTCTCCCCCGATTGCTCAGTTTGGCCGGGCGACCAGCTCTAGGAAGAGTCTTGGTGGTTCCAAACTTCTTCCATTTAAGAATGATGGAGGTCACTGTGTTCTTGGGGACCAATGCTGCAGACATTTTTTGGTACCCTTCCCCAGATCTGTGCCTCGGCACAATCATGTCTCGGAGCTCAACAGACAATTCCTTTTACCTCATGGCTTGGTTTTTGCTCTGTCAACTGTGGGACCTTATATAGACAGATGTGTGCCTTTCCAAATCATGTCCAATCAATTGAATTTACCACAGGTGGACTCCAATCAAGTTGTAGAAACATCTCAAGGATGATCAATGGAAACAGGATGCACCTGAGCTCAATTTCGAGTCTCGTAGCAAAGGGTCTGAATACTTATGTAAATAAGGTATTTCTGTTATTTATTTGTAATACATTTGCAAAAATTCCTAAAAACCTGTTTTCGCTTTGTCCTTATGGGTTATTGTGTGTAGATTGATGAGGATTTTTATTTATTTAATCAATTTTATTATAAGGCTGTAACGTATCAAAATGTGGAAAAAGTCAAGGGGTCTGAAAACTGTCCGAATGCACTGTCAATTATGTAAGCAGTTGTAGGCCTATTTTGAAGATGTAGAATGACTACTGTTTGTAGCTCAGTTGGTAGAGCATGGCGCTTGCAACGCCAGGGTTGTGGGTTCGTTTCGCACGGGGGGGCCAGTATGAAAATGTATTCACTCACTAATTGTAAGTCGCTCTGGATAAGAGCGTCTGCTAAATGACTAAAAATGTAAATGTATCCTATCAACAGCGCTTATGGCCAATGAACTATGGGCCCATGCATAAAATCAACTGCATTATCTCATGGCCCGCTGCCCTGTTTTCCCCAACTCCTAAACTAACCTTAATGACTATACCAGAGAGCATCATTTAGCCACAGAGGATATATAGCATTAAAAAATATATATATATAGCTGTGAATTGTGTGTAGGCCTAATCAGAAGCGTATACAGTCGGTAAACCACGCCGCAATTTGGGCAGCACGCGCAGCAAATATCAAACAGCAGATTGTTGAGTTGCGCAGCTATAATAGCCTGGCCTTTTGCAATATTTTAAAATACAATCACGGGAAAAACGGTTTGGAAAGCAAATAACTACTGCCAGTGGCGGCTCCTGAAAAAATTCTCAGGAGGGGCAATTTTTCTGATGATTTAGGTGACCTACACACATTTTAAAAAAGATATGTCCAGCAACAACATGAAGACAGGGGCAGCATATAAGTCAATACCAGAAGCATTTATTGACTGATCTGGGGAGATGGATTCCAGTTTCTGTGACAGATTATAAATAATCTCTGATGCCTTTGTTATATTAGCTTTTGGTTGAATGTACTGTCGTAGTAAATATATAATGTTATAGCTTGGTCTGACTAAAATCTTGTGCATGACCCATTTTGTGTTGGGCGTTTGTTTTCAATCAATGCTGTTCCTATCCTATAACAATGGACAAAATAGTCCTATCTTGTCAGCCTTGTCAGCAGGTGGCCAAGGACAACACCCACGCCATAGGTCTCTCAGTTCTTCCAACTCACGAGTTCTTGCTCTGAGGACACACACACACACACACACACACACACATCATCACTGATAACACACACACACACACACACACATCATCACTGTTAAACACACACACACACACACACAAAAATCCCCTCTCTTTAGGCTGAACATTTGAAGACAGAGAACCCGACTCAGAAACAATGCAACAGTGGAGGGGACCTCGCCCAACTCATCAGGACCAATCAGAAGATCAGAACTACTAGATTCAACCTACATCATTTATTGTATAAAATGTCTGCACACAATGTTTTCGGGGCTCTCTTCTCCCTAAGAGTTTGACGAACGAGTCCGTGCACGCGATTCCAGATATCTTTACCTCTGAATAAACTGCCTTTATTATACCATATCCACCCTGTCCAAAGTCTCTACTTGGTCTCAGTTCTCCAGTAAACTTGTGATTATCAACAGTACACAACGGTAACAAACAATTGGGGGAACTCACGGGGCAGATAGTAAGGTCGCAATGACACAGAAAGCAGTTCAATGTCGGGGTACAGAGTCGCTCTCTTACCAGGATCGCGGTCCGCTCTGACCAGGGTGAAGCCGGCCGGCTCCACTTCTCTGTCCGGGACTCTGTCATCCAGCCAAGTCTCCCAGCTGTATTGGATTCCGCTGCCAGCAGCGTTTTCATTATTTAGTCCGTTCGTAGCGGGTATGTACACGATCAACAAGATCAGTCCAAAACCAACCACTGGAAATCCATGGTTGGCAGAATGTTTGTAAACTAAGTCTACAAATTAAAAACATAAAATAACGCCACACTGCAGGTCACAACAGAGACGCTGCTAGCCGCTATTGTCTTAGTTACGTTCATGGTTACGTCACGTATGACGAAAGCGCGTAAGTGCAAGCCCACAGACACCCATAGAGAATGTATTGAAAGCTTTGAAATTGGAAAAAAATAGATTTTACATGACAGGCTATGAGAGACTTCTGGGCGATTTTCAACCTGACTGAAATCGCCCCAAAAACGGGCGGGGCCATTTGAAGCACGACTTTAGCCTGATTTGACATTTAGTGGCTGGCAGATCAGACGTGAACACTGATAACTACTGTTGCCGTGATATAATTGATTAGAAAAAAAATCCCTTCCTTTTCCCGTTTGGCAGTGCGTCGCCCATATCGCCCTATTGAACAGGCCGTCCCTGACTACTGCTGAAAAGAGAAGACTAATCTGTCTGGCTACCAAAATATTGTATGAACTCACCCAGCACCCTCAACTCTAAACATCTTTCCCAGGCCTATGTCTATACTGTTTTTTTTATAGACCTATATGTGGATAATATGGGTTCAGGGTAGGCCTATCACAAAATCACAATATTGAATTTCAAGGAGAAAGCAAGTGCCCTGATCACACAGATTTATTTTTAAATGCTCCAGAGTTGAGAATATTGGTTTATCTAGAGACCAAAAAGCTGAACAGATAAACACATTTTGGTAACACTTTACTTGACACCCAGAGTCATAACATATTATGACACAGTCATAACCATGTCATAATATATGACACCGAACATGTCATAATGTGTCATAACAGCTGACGTAACTTGTCATAACCTGTCAAAATATGGTCATAACACTGTCATGACACATATATTTAGACCTGTTGTGATATATATTGAATTATTTTATGCCTGGTTATGACACCTACATAAGCGCGCCAAAACCCACAAAACCTACCACACAAGGCAAAACATTCCATTACACCATAGCCTACTTGTCAACAGTATGTTTATGTTATATACCATTTTATGAAATTGACCATATTAAATTATCATTGTAATTGCTAACAAATTGATGTCAGACATGCATGTACCCCAATGCTCTGTGGACTGGGATGAATGCAGGTACAGATTTCAGGAGCAGGACAAGACACCCTCTTTGTGTAAATAATTGATTACAACAACAACAAAGGACTTAAGAAACAAACTTTCAAACGAAAGGAATCTTCTTGTCAGGGAAACAACACAATTGAATAAATGTGGGTTTTGACACTAAATATATGACAGTGTTATGACCATATTATGACAGGTTATGACAAGTTATGTCAGCTGTTATGACATATTATGACATGGTTATGACCGTGTCATAACGTGTTATGAGCGTGTCATAACATGTTATGACACTGGGTGTCAAGTAAAGTGTTAGCCACATTTTTGAGGAGGGGGAATTGCATCAAATTATTAATTTCTAATGATTTGCCGCCTGTAAGTGCAGGGTTTGATTTGATTTGATTTATTAGGATCCCCATTAGCTGACGCCAATGGCGACTGCTAGTCTTACTGGGGTCCAACATATAACAAAAAGACATTCCAGACAAAAATGTACAGTGGGGAAAAAAAGTATTTAATCAGCCACCAATTGTGCAAGTTCTCCCACTTAAAAAGATGAGAGGCCTGTAATTTTCATCATAGGTACACGTCAACTATGACAGACAAAATGAGGAAAAAAATTCCAGAAAATCACATTGTAGGAGTTTTTATGAATTTATTTGCAAATTATGGTGGAAAATAAGTATTTGGTCAATAACAAAAGTTTCTCAATACTTTGTTATATACCCTTTGTTGGCAATGACACAGGTCAAACGTTTTCTGTAAGTCTTCACAAGGTTTTTACACACTGTTGCTGGTATTTTGGCCCATTCCTCCATGCAGATCTCCTCTAGAGCAGTGATGTTTTGGGGCTGTCGCTGGGCAACACAGACTTTCAACTCCCTCCAAAGATGTTCTATGGGGTTGAGATCTGGAGACTGGCTAGGCCACTCCAGGACCTTGAAATGCTTCTTACGAAGCCACTCCTTCGTTGCCCGGGCGGTGTGTTTGGTATCATTGTCATGCTGAAAGACCCAGCCACGTTTCATCTTCAATGCCCTTGCTGATGGAAGGAGGTTTTCACTCAAAATCTCACGATACATGG